ACAACAGACTGTGGCTTAATTGGAAATACTCTCGAAGCTCTGGAGGCAACGTCATGTGTCGGCCAGGATGGTTCTTCTGGGGTCGTTCTCTGTGGCTTGTGGATGGCTGTCCCCTCTCTGTGTGCTGAGTCGTTGTCCCTGCTATGGACACTGACCATGTTGGCTTGGGCCCATTTGTATGCATTCATTTTCCCTGAGTCATCTCCTTAACATTTTCTTTCCAAATCCAATCTCATTGTATGAAAGGAACTATAGGTTAGGGCTTCAGTGTATGGATTTTGTGGGGGACAGAATTCAACCCATATCGTATCTCGAAGGGCTGCGGTGAAGTGACATCATGGATGTCCAGCAATGGCCAGGGGAGCTGGCAAGTAGCAGAAGTCTTGATACCTGTCAGGCCTGATTATGTACTGGGTTTAGGCTGCAAGTCCTTTGCCCTCCAGAATATGGCCTAGATGCTGGAGTTGCTCTTCTCCAGGTTCTGGAGCCTGCATCATTCTTGCCTTTTAACCTACAGTTTTCAATTTCTTTTCTTTTTTTTAAGTATAGAGGATTGAACTCATGGCCTTTGCACAGAGCTACATCTTTTCTTTTTTAAACAGGGTCTCACTATGTGGCTCAGATCTGCCTTGGACTACATAGATCAGACTGGCCTAGAATTTGCAGTGATCCTCCTGCCTCAGCCTCCTGAGTGTTGGGATTACAAGTGTGTGACATTTTGAGACAGTGTCTTATGAAATCACTAAACTGTCCAAGCTGGGCCCAAACTGGGAATTCTTCTGCCTCAGCCCCTCAGAGTGCTGGGATTACAGGTATCCACCACCATGCCAGCCTTATAGTTCCCATCTTGATTCTGTGACTCTTCCATCCTGCTCTACACATTCGCTTACTGACACGTTAGTGTCACTAAGATACTCTTCCTGGAGGGAATTCTCACATTTTATCTCTGTAACTGCCTCAAGGTTAGGCTTTAAAATGAACACACCTGTAATCCCAGCACTTGGGTGGCCAAGGCAAGAGGATTGCTGTGAGTTCAAGGCAGGCCTGAACTACATATCAAGACCCTGCCTTAAAAAAAATAAATTTAATTTAAAAATAAAGTGGACAGGACCAGGGATTCAGCTCAGTATTTCCGCTGCCTGCCTTGCAAGTGCAAGGTCCTCAGTTTGATCCCAGAAAGAAAGAAAGAAAGAAAGATAGAAAGAGGATAGAGCCAGGGATTTAGCTCAGTGGCACTGCACCTACCTCAAAAGAGCCAAAGTCCTAAAGGACAAATCCTCTCCCAGCTACTCACAGCTCAGCAACAATATTTCCAATACTACGTCTATTTCTATTTTTTGTTTTTTTGTGATCTTTTTTGGTACCAGGGATCAAACTCAGGACCTTGCACTTGTGAGGCAAGCAGTGGCACTGAGTTAAATCCCTGGCCCTATCTCTATTTTTTGGGTAAGTCACTTACTATTAAAATTTAATGACAATCATTTTTATGTCCTCTTTCAGTTTACAAAACTCTTATCCATTATTTCTCTTGATCCTCACAGCATCTGTGAGAAGGAAATATGTTTCTCCCCATTTTATAAACGAAGAATGTAAAGGTTGGAAGGACAGTCAGTATACTGGTCACACAGTTTATAAGTGGCAGAGACAGGTCTTAGCTTTTGGTCTTTGCTCCCCTTATGTGACGTACAGCTTCAGATAAATCCAACATATAAGCCCCCGTTTGCTCTTATGTTGATTGGAAGTTAAAAAAAAAAGCCCTAATTCAAACTGGCTTAAGGGAAAGCTGAATTTATTGGCTCACCCTAACAGAATGATGCAGGAAGTAGCATTCAGATATGGTTGGATCCAGGTTCTCAAACTGTCATCAGGACATTTCTTAGCTTCCTTGTATTGACCTTATTTTTAGACAAGCTCTCTGCCTGGGGTATCAAAGAGTCCTCTACTGTAGGGAAAAGAGAAAGGGGACGTTCTGGTCTGATGTGAGCCACAACACCACAAGGCAAATTAATGAATAAAGACAGGAAATGAGACGTAGAAAAGAAGCTGAGCTTTGGGCCTGATCAATGCTGCTCTAGGCAACAAAGATGAAGGCACCCCAAGTTTGCCATACCTTTATTTGGTACATCAAGAGTAACAGATGACTCAGAGGGCAGTGATGATCCTAGGACAACGAGGAACTTATGCTGATGAAGATCTTAGGTCAATGAGGAACTTAAATGGATTAGCAGTTTGTCCTTTTCCAGGTGAAACTTTTCTCTTTCTACTTGGTTCTCAAAGAGCCAGGATATCTTCAGCTGATGGAGTTCTGCCCTGGAATATCACGACATCCTGGGGCCACTGAGGTTTTAGCTGTGATTGGAGGTATAAGTGGAGTACTGTCTTGACATGAACATAGCCTGTAGGCAGAACTAGGCCTAATCATAATTTAATTGTGAAATGTTTTTTCCCCCAAATTATGTAGAATTGCTCCTGAAACCATTCTAGCTGTAGCTTACAGTAAACCATCATAAAGGCAACACTTCTTGCTGAACTACAACAACTGGGTATCATTAACTGCTTGGCCAGGGTCGAGGACCAACCCAGGAACCACTCATTGTGCCCAGTACAAAGATGTATTCTTATTGTCCAGGCCTGATCCCTCACCCCAGAGAGAAATATGTGGTATTAAACCCAGGACCTGAGTGAGAAGGGAAAAGTTCTTCAAGGAGAAACACTTGTCAGACATGGTATAGGCAGATTTTCACAGAACTGCACTCTGCAGAGAGGAACTGGGGATCCACCTCAGCAAAAATTTGCAGTGGATTTATACTCCCCACCCTCAGGACTGCCCTACTGAGCTTAGCAGGCTGGGCAGGGGAGCTGAACTAATGCAGAAAAGCAGTGAATAGGAGGGAGCAACTCAGCATGTTCAGAACAGTAGCAACCTACAGCGTCCCCCAGAGATCTGGGGGTACTGTGGGAAGGCCACTTCCTGCTTCCTGTTCATCAAGCTGTGGTCTGCACATGGGCTTTCCCCAGGTCTCCTGTACTCACTGCCTCTCCTCCGTGCCCAGTGGGTGGGTGATTAATGTATCAGTTGACCAGACTGATTGGCAGGGCAGGATTCCTTCTCTCTGTAAGTCAGTCCTCTTGGGTGGCTTCTGTTTTCCATCCGTAAAGTGGGAGAAGTGAAGAAGACTTCCCTGACTCTCCAGCTCAGAACTCTGGACTGCAGGGCTCTCAGGAGATGGCCAGGATGCCTAAAGCACCAGTGAGGAGACCAAATTTACAGTGCCTCTGCGCAGGCCCGGGGTGGTATGAATTCCCACAGGCCTGAGGGCCCAAACTAGTGGAGGAGAGAAAACAAAGCTCGGAAGGGTGGCACCAGTGTCCTGGGCCTGCAACTGAAATAAGACCAAAATAAAACCCAACTCTCATTAACTCTCGTTTCTTAGAAAAAATGGATTTTTATATTAAGAGAGCAGGAAGTACTTGATTTCAGAAAATTCCCCTCACCTGGAAAAAATCATTTGGCAATCTTATTTTTTCTTTTTAGACTGATGTAAATTTCAACAGACTTCTGTATGGAATCCAGTGTTTGGGACTCACTGATAGACTGTTACACACGCTTGCACGCGTTGGTATCTGTGAAGTGGGGCTAATCAGCCCACTTTATAGACAGAGGAACAGAGGTGTAGAGAGCTCAGCTGCAAGATACCAAGCCAAAGGCTGTTCGGACGAAGAAACGCAGCACGGCGCTCAGTCCCGCTGCAGCCCGGGCCTCGCCTCTCTGCTCTGGTCCGTCCGGAACCAGCACCTCCCCGGCGCCCTTTCCTCCG